GCTCAGTTGGTTGAGCGTCCGATTTTGGCTCAGGTCATGATCTCACAGTTCATGACTTCGAGCCCCGCGTCGGGGTCACTGCCGTCTTCCTCTCTCTGACCCTGCTCCGCTCTCTCTCTCTTTCAAAAATAAATACACATTTAAAATAAATAAATTGGGCAATGTTCCCTCCTGTTCCTTTTTTTTTCCTGACAGATTGTGTAAGTTTGGGGTCACTTCTTCCTTAAATATTTGATAGAATTCACCAGTGGAACTATCCAGGCTTGAAGTTGTCCTTTGTTTTTGTTTGTTTGTGGGAAGGGTTTTGATCATGAAGTCAATTTCTCTGATAGATAAAACTCTTTGGATTTTTCAGGTTCATCCTGAATCAGTTTTGGGAAGTTGTGAATTGTTAAGCAGTTTGTTCATTTATCTGCGTTGTCAGATTTATTGGCATAAAGATCATAATGTTTTCTTATTGTTCAATTGTCTTATTTTTATTATAGGCTCTGTGCTGACATCTTCCTTTTTATTTCTTATATTCATAATTTATTCTCTTCCTCTTCTTTCTCTCTCTCTCCTTGATCAGTCTAGTTAGATATTTACCAATTTTCTTGATATTTTCAATGAATCAACTTTTGGCTTTGTTAATCTTCTGTTCATCTGTTTTCTTTTTTCCTTAATTCTTTTTAAATGTTTATTTATTTTTGAGAGAGAGAGAGAGAGAGAGAGAGAGAGACAGAGTGCAAGCAGGGGAGGGGCAGAGAGAGAAAGACACACAGAATCCAAAGCAGGCTCCAGGCTCTGAGCTGTCAGCACAGAGCCCGACGTGGGGCTCAAACTCACAAACCGCGAGATCATGACCTGAACCAAAGTCGAACACTTGACCGACTGAGCCACCCAGGTGTCCCTGTTCATCTGTTTTCTGTGTCACAAATATTTGCTCTTATCATTATTTCCTTCTTTCCTCCTACTTACTGTGGGTTGACTGCTTTTCTTTCTCTAGCTTTTTGAAGTAGAATCTCAACCTAATGATTTTATAGCTTTCTTTTTTTTCTAATAAAGCTAAAATGTTCCCTTAAGCACCCTTGACTTTCATGGACTATATTTTCACATATCATTCAGCTCAAAATATTTATTTTCTAATTTTCCTTGTCTTAAAAACAAGACAGAGTGCTCTAATGGGTTTATGCTAAGCCGTGCGTCACCAAACCAGGATTCAACTTCTGTTTTTGAAATTTTTTAAGTGGGGAAGGGGCAGATGAGAGAGAGGTCGAGAGAGGGAATCCCAAGCAGGCTCTACACCACCAGAGCCTGATGCAGGGCTTGAACTCATGAACCGTGAGATCATGACCTGAGCCAAACTTAGACGCTTAACCGACGGAGCCACCCAGGCACCCCCGAGACTCAACTTAATTAGTCTCTGCTCTCCCAGAAATGGAATCTTGAACCAGTCAGTCAAGAATCACCTGCTCGGCACCAATGGTCATCTGCCTGATGGATTCCAGCCGTCCATTAAAGGAAAGTGACCCTGTAATAACCAACCCACTTTTTTTTTCCAGAACTTTCCTCTGCGTATAAAAGTCTTTCATTTTGTACTGCCACTCGGAGCTCCTTTCTTTCTGCTAGATGGGATGCTGTTGGATTCATAAACTGTTGACTAAAGCCAATGAGATCTTCCTAATTTACCCCGCTGAGTTATGTTTTTCAACAAGAAGGGATGCCCAAATGATGTGAAGGGGGCAGGGAGAGTGCGGAGCCCGTGAATGGGGAGAGGGAAGAGTGAGCTTCAGACTACACTGCAGGCTTGAGCGTCCCCGCCAGCAGGGTGGCCCTGTCACAATGTCCCCACTGAGCTCTGTCCTTGGCTAGGAGCTACCTGGAGAGGGAGCCCCCTTCGTGGGGACACTGAGGCTCATCTGAAGGTGTGGCAGCAGGGGGCTCCCAGCCAACTCCACTCCTCGCAAGAGGGCGTCTGCCAGGGACAGGTGAGTAGTCCCCCGCCTCGGCCGCAGGCCTCCCTAAACTCAGCCACGTTCCTCTGACACATTCCGTCACAGAACCATGTTCTTCCCCTTCAGAGAACTTACTTTGGCTGCAGCTACATCATTGGGGAGCGTTATTGGCTCGTCTCTCCTTGAGAACAAGGGCAATAGATTCTCTCGCCACTGTGTCTCCCGTGCAGGGCACTGTGTTCCCTGAGTGAACAAGGGACCAGTAATCCAGGCTCTCAGCGTTCCCTAGGGGCAGCCTGGCCACCTGGGGGCCACGCTGGGGAGGGCGGCGGCGCGGTGCACATCAGGGTGCACGGTGCCCATTTTGAGAATGGGCATCTCTGAACCTCTTTGTGGATCTTTCTCCCTTGTGGCCTCCACCTGACCGTCCCCAGAGGCTGGTTCTGGCTGCGAGGAGCAGCGGAGAGGCCTGGGAGTCTCCATCCCCAGGAAACAGCTGCGAGCCTTTACGCCTGATTTTATATACGCCTAATGTCTCCCTTTGCTCTCTCCTCTCCTTCCTCCCCCAAACCTGCCCTTCATTCTGTTTCCTCTGAGATGTTTCAGCTGGGACAAAGGCAGCCTCTCAGGGCCCATGACTTCTTTCTGGAACTTACTAACATGGGGTGAAAAATACAGCCTCGTGTTAGGAACGCGGGCTCTAGATTCAGATCCCAAATCCTTCACGCCCAAGCTGCAGGACTCTGGGTAAGTCACTTAACCTCTCTGGGCCCCCTCTTCTCATCGCGGAAAGGACATAGCAAAATAGCAAAACCACAGTGCTATGAAGGGTAAGCAGGATGTCTGGGGCTCTATACTCAAGGCACCTTAGCCTTAAAGGCTCTGAGAAGTCCTGCAGTGAAGCGACCAAACATATTGGATGACAGGTTGACAAAAGCCAAGGGCACCTGCGATCCTAGTGTTCGATGAGAGCCCTAGAGGGTTAGAACGACCTTCGGAACGACTGTGGATGAGATCCAGATGGGCCTGGGCTCCTGCAGAATTGTTCTCGGTTGGGGTGGGAGGGTTATGCCTCTGATTCCATCGAGGGATGCTAGAACTCGATGTGTGACAGGGCTGCTGCTCTCAGGGGTATGCGGGTGACACTGTGATGCTCCTCCCTTTAATTATTAAAGGACCATTTCATGGGTAGAAACGGTCATGCGCATAGAGGCACGGAATTTTTTTGTTTTTGTTTATTTGAGAGAGAGCAAGTGTGAGCAGGGCAGGGGCAGAGAGAGAGGGCGGGAGAGGGAGAATCGGAGGCAGGCTCCGCGCACTGCGAGCATGGAGCTCAGTGCGGGGCTCGACCCCACGAACTGTGAGATCATCACCTGAGCCGACATCAAGACGGCACCGGGCTCTGAGGGAGGTGATGCCTCCTTGTGCAGAGCTGGCCAAGCAGGGGGCCAGCTGGCAGGGATCAGGGTTCCCCCCGCTAAGAGGTTCCTGGGTTCTTAGCACCTCCCCCAGCCTGGGCACGCGGAAGGAGGCGACAGAAAGGCCTGCTGGCTGAAGGTCAGGGGTTAAGAGGCCTGAGCCCAGATGACAAGCAGCTGGCCGAGGCACAAACCGTGGACGGCTTCCTCCCCCTCCCGGTGATGGCAGAGATGAGAAGACAGGGCAGGAACTTGCCACAGATGGAAGAGAGACCAGAGGCCTTTGGAACGTGCCCAAGGGGCCCAGCTCGGAGGGCAAAACCCTTTCCGCTCGGAGAGAACGTTATTTATTAGAAGAACAGGCACCGGGTCTTACCCAGGGAGCCCAGGGGGCTCTGGCCCATGTGTCCTGGCCACGACCTATCATACCAATCCCTGTTTCTAAGACAACGGGAGACCCAAATAGGAAGAACATTACTGGTGATAAGAAGTGGCTGTTGTAGGCTGAGCCAAGCCAGACAAGTTGAGCTCAAACATCAGAAATTTTGAGGCCAGTTCTAAATTTAGAGCCCGGTTTTGGAGGGAGCCAGAATGAACTCCCTCTGCACAAAGTGTGTCAGAAGAATGGAAGATACCGATGCCAGGGAGCGACCGGTATGGAGGGGGTGGGGAGCCCTCTTTCAGCCAGAGATGGGAAGAATGAGATCAACCAGGCTCTTTCCCTTTTTTTTTTTTTTAACTCAGTATCTTTTCAAAGTAAGAGCTTTGCAAGAACTGAGTATCTCATCCCCTCTTCCCTGCTGCTTTGAAAAAGTTTTATTTAAATTATTTTAATGTTTATTCATTAAAAAAATTTTTTTTAATGTTTTTTATTTATTTCTAGGAGAGAGAGAGAGAGAGACAGCATGAGCAGGGGAGGGTCAGAGAGAGAGGGAGTCACAGACCGAAACAGGCTCCAGGCTCTGAGCTGGCAGTCAGCACAGAGCCCGACGCGGGGCTCGAACCCATGAACCGCGAGATCATGACCTAAGTGAAAGTCGGACGCTTAACCGACTAAGCCACCCAGGCGCCCCAATGTTTATTCATTTTTGAGAGAGAGAGACAGAGCACGAGTGGGGGACGGGCAGAGAGAGAGAGAGGGAGACACAGAATCTGAAGCAGGCTCCAGGCTCTCAGCTGTCAGCACAGAGCCTGGCCTTGGGGCTTGAACCCATGAACCGTGAGATCATGACCTGAGCTAAAGTTGGATGCCCAACCGACTGAGCCACCCAGGTGCCCCTGAAAAAGTTTTATTACTCAGAAAGACCGTCAAAGCAACTCTGGGTGTGTGCCCAGGCAGCAAAATTGAAGACTCGGTGCTCTGGTCCACGCCCAGCCCCCTCCACCCCTGCTGGACCAGCACCGCACCCCCACCCCCCCCCATGAGGGAAGATACCTGTCACCCACCTGGACGGTCTCCTTCTGTTGACACAAACCAAGTTATCCCCTCATTGGACAGCACACCATACTGACAGCCACGCCAGGCTGAGGCTGGCGCGCCCCCAAATTGAAGTCAGCGGAACCCCAACTTCCCTGCTTCCCACCGCGCATGAGACCCAGACTCCAGGCCCCCGCCCTCCACTTACGCCTTCATCCACCGGCTTCTTACCCGCTGCCTTTGCCAGTTGCTCTGCTGATATCTTGGCGCGTTGACCTCTGGGAGCCACGATTCCCTCACCTGTTAAATACCAAGTCGCAGGGTTATGTGGGACCCGCCCCTCTCTCTGGCCGCCTGTGCTATCCGGCCGGAGCCCATAGCATCGCTCGGCAGTGTCTCCATCCGCCAGCCTCCCGGCCTCCCCAGAGCATGGCCCGGACAAGCCCTTCTGCCCCAGACCTCTTCACAGCTTCCCACTGCCTTCAGAGTCAAGTTCAGAGAGCGTAGCCTGGCACTCAAGGTCATCCAAGGCCTGACCCCAGCCTTGCGTTTTTGCCTCATTCTTGTCTACCAGCAACCTTGTTCATGTCCCCGGGCTCCATTGTACTGGAAGCTTCTCCACATTTCTGCATGTCTCACCTGTACCCCGCTGACCACTCCCAGCCTATTTGCTGTATGACTTTCAGGAAGTTGCTTAAACCCCATGTTTGCGTAAGATTGCTTCCAAAGATGACCCGAGCAATTCCTTCCGTCCCGCATGTCCTTTGCAGTGTGACTTCACCACTCCTTGTCAGCCGAATCCCTTCCCCTTGAACCCGGGCTGGCTCTGGGACAGTCACCGACCCATCGTGAATGCGGCAGACGCCACGCTGTGCCGCTTGTGGCTTCTGGGTTTGTATTCCGGGAAGCCAGCCCGCCGCTGTGCGAGTCCGGGCTCGCTGGCTCAAGAGAGAGGTCACGTGAAGGACAGCCGAAGTGCCCCAGCTAACGGTCACCCCCCGAGGTCCCAGTCATGTGACAAAGCCATTGTGGTCTTCCAGCCTCAGCCACAGCCGGGCTCAACCAGTGGCGCGGAGATGAGCTGTCCCCGCGGAGCCCTGAGTTCCTGACCCACCAAATAGCAGCAAGATAAAATATTGCTGGTTTAAGGCATTACATTTAGCAGGGGACTTCTGTGCAGCAACAGATAAGCGAAATCAGTCTTCTCACCTGCAAAATGGGGATAGTGATCGTTTCCTGCTTCACAGAAGGCAGGGAGGGTTCAACAGGCGGGTCTGGGTGAAGCCCTTAGAGCGGTGAGGAAGCATTTAGTAACAACCTCCCATTACCTTGCTAGGTTGTTTCTTGTTGCTCTCCCAAGCCCCTCTGGCATATAGTGGGTGCCCTGGAAACACAGTCAAATAGCGAATGGCCCCTCCTTCACGAAGCCTTCTCTGATCTCTTTCCACCAGAGGGAGATGACTCTCCTTCCCCAGCCTCAGTGCGTTTATCAGCGCCCCCTGTGATGTAGACTCCATTTGGCCCCAGCTCCTCTGGGGACCGTGAGCTCCTTGAAGGCAACACCTTGCCCATAACACACGAGCAATAAATATCTGTTGAATGAATGAGAAATGGGAGCAATGGCAGCTGCCCTATGGGCCTAACTGGGCTCATTGGAATTCGAAAGGAGATCAGTAGAGAGGTATTTGGGCACCTCTGTGCTTTCTCTGGAGGAATCTGTCTCTAAATGCCATTCTGCTGCTTCTGTGTCTTCTGGTCCCATCCGTGTGACCTTTATCCTCTAGGGCAGGAGAGCAGCCAGCACAGGACCCTAGAAGGAAGCCTCCCTATTTCCTGCCCTAAGTAAGAGCTGGCTGGCCTCCCAGGTCGCGGAAGTAGGGGGTGTGATGTCAGACCTGGGAAGGAACTGACGGCCCCCACAAGTCCCCTCCCTTTGCTGGCAGATGCCTGACGTTCCACCACTCGATGGAAAAACAGTTGATTCCTAAGCCATGATTCAGTCAGATATCAGTCTAATATCTCTAAGACTGGCCTGGTCCAGAGAGGCAGTCAAGTATGAAAGAACACAGGATTCCATCAGGTTCCAGATCTTTAGCTATAGATGGAAATGACTTGACGAATCTTTCTTATTTTTTGTTTAAAAAAATTTTTAGTGTTGTTTTTTGTCAGACAGAGCATGAGCAGGGGAGAGGCAGAGAAAGAGAGGGAGACACAGAATCTGAAGCAGGCTCCAGGCTCTGAGACGTCAGCACAGAGCCCGACGCGGGGCTCGAACTCACGAACCGTGAGATCATGACCTGAGCTGGAGTGAGACGCTCAACTGACTGAGCCACTCAGGTGCCCCATGACTCGACTATTCTCAAGATCCAAAGACGCAAAATCAAATCGGGTGGTCGAGTTTCCTGGCTGGGGGTGTGACATAGAGCTCAGATGTAGGCATCCTGGGCCACGTGGTGCCTCCTTTGAATTGTGGGGTCCCCAACACAGCAATGGTAGACAGGGTAGATGTTCTATAAGCTCAGAAGAGTCAAGAAGGCAATGCCCAAGGTGGTGTGAAATGAATATTATAGTTTCCTCAGCGAGTCAGCTCTTTAACGATTTAAAATTAAGTATAGACAGTTTCAGGGAATCCAAATCATGGCACTGATGTTTTTATGTAAAAGAATCTGTGCACATTTGGGATTTATGTGTTTGGAGCTCAGTAGGATTTGGCCTATTTAGAGTAAAAATCTTGAAATTCCAGCGTGAATGGCTGGGTCAGTCGGTAGATCATGTAACTCTTGATCTTGGGGTCGTGAGTTCGAGCCCCACTGCGGGTGTAGAAGTTACTTATAAATAAATAAACTTGAAAAAAATCTTGGAGATTTTTCAGATGTATAATTTTATTTTTAATTATTTTTTGAAGTTTATTTATTTATTTTGAGAGAGATGGAGACAGTGTGAACGGGGGAGGAGAAGAGAGGGAGACACAGAATCCCAAGCCAACAGGCTCTGCACCATCAGCATAGAGTCCCACTCGGGGCTTGAACCCACAAAACCATGAGATCATGCCCTGAGCCGAAACCAAGAGTCGGATGCTTAACCGAGTGAGCCACCCAGGCGCCCCCGGATTTAGAATTTTAAGCTGAAAATTTCTTAAACTTGTATATAGTACTGGGACATTTATGAGAACTCAAAGTTCACCATATTTTTAATTTATTGGATGAATAATGTGCATTTAAATACTCGGAAAGATTTTGTCTTGTCACACACACCATTAAAGTACATGAGAGGAAACTGAACACAATAAATGCTTGCTTGCAATTTAACGTTTAATGTTTGCGGGAGTTTAACTTTGCCACTGGAATCCAACACTCAACCTCCTCTTAGAAGTGATAGTTAAAATATGTTGGACATAAACAGAATAAGATTTGTAAGCCGGCGCTTAAGGAAGAGCGCTCGATGCTTTTAATTTCAGTAAATTAAATACGAATTTTAAAAGTCAGTTAAACCTCTGAATCATCTTTGTCCAGAAAATGAGATTTACGGTAAAACCCGCCTCGCGGGATCATTGAGAGGATTACATTGGAGATACCAGGTTTAAAGGGTTTGGAATAAATGTTACATGGGGTGCATTCAGTATGACATGCCAGGGATGATTAGTATTATTAACTTTTTTTTTTAAGTGTTTATTTTTGAGGGGGGGGAGGGGCAGAGAGAGAAGGAGACACAGAATCTGAAGCAGGCTCCAGGCTCCGAGCGCAGAGCCCAATGCAGGGCTTGAACTCACTTGAACTTGAACCGTGGGATCATGACCTGAGCTGAAGTGGGAGGCTTAACCAACTGAGCCACCCAGGCGCCCCATTAACTCTTTCTTAAAGGGGAGCATAAAAATGTTCCAGGGCACGAGGGACGTTCTGAGATACAGGCTGTGAGGCAGAGCATCATGGTAGCAGGGCTGAGAGTGCACCACACGCGGTCATCCCTCAGTCCCTCTCTGGCTTCCGGGGCTCCCTGAAATGCTGCCAAGTTCTCCAGCAGAGCTGGGGCTCGGTTCATTATCATTACACCACCCAGCGTCCCCTTTGCCGGCGCCGGTGGGAGGCTCGTCTCTAGGCTTGCGCCCATTCTGCAGACAACCACTGATGTTTGCTGCAGGCACCGTTCCGGGTAGTACGATGGTGCAGAGAGCACAGGCGACAGCCTCGGACGTCCTGGGGCTCCCGTTCTAGAAGGGGAGACATGCAGGACTCAGAAGCGACAAGCCAGTCCTGCAAGAGGCTCCAATACTTTGTGGAGGAACATCTACCAGGCGAGGGGATGGGAGAGACAGGAGCGGGGACTGCGGTTCAAGAATGGGTAGTCGCGGGGGCGCCTGGGGGGCTCAGTCGGTTAAGTGTCCAGCTATGGCTCAGGTCACGATCTCACAGTTCATGAGTTTGAGCCCCGTTTCGGGCTCTGTGCTGACAGCTCAGAGCCTGGAGCCAGCATCACATACTGTGTCTCCCTGTCTCTCTCTCTCTGGCCCCTCCCACTTGTGCTCTGTCTCTCTCTCAAAAATAAGTAAACATTAAAAAAAAAAAAAGAATGGGTAGTCATGGTAGGCCCCCTGGAGGAGGAGACATCTGAGCCATTTGAACCAAGACTTTAAGGAGATGAGAGTCAATTGTACACACAGGGAACAGCAAGTGCACCTGGGTGGTGCCCTGTGGCCCCTGTGAAGACTTTGTCTTTTACTCTAAATGAAGCCGGGAGCCATTGAGATATTTGGAGAAATTCATAAACTGTGTATTAGATACTAACCCATACTGAGTTCATGGGTGTGATGATTCCTATTTTTAGTATATGTGCTGCCACAGCAAGTACAATGGGTATGACAATTCCTAATAAGTTGAAATAAAATTATTCGGCGTTATTGTTCTTAGGAAAACATGCTAAAGTATTAAGGCCCCAAGGGTCATGATGTCTGCAACCTATTTTCAAATGAGTAGGAGAAAAAGAAAAAGAAAACTAGTTATTTGTCATAGTTATCTGTTCCAGGTCTAGGTAACACATTAACCTCAGACTTAGGCACAGAAAATATCACACGTTTTTAGGAGGGACACAGAGATTACCACTGTTCATTTTTCACTTCTTTACTACCTCACAAACTTATTTTTGTCCTGGAATGTTAACGGAGGTCTTATCACGGTCAAGCTACTGCGTTCAGAATTGTGCAGACCCGAGGATCAACAGATCCTTCCGTGAAAGAACATACCTTTCCTTCATTTGACTCATCCCACAAACACTTAACGAGTACCTACTACATACCAGGCATGTAATGAGTACCCACACGTCCCAGCCTGTGTGTGCGCCAGACAATGAACACACACCTCTGAATATGCCAAATCTTATTCCTGCTCTCATGGAGCTTAAATTATAGTGGAGCTAGCTAAAATCCATGAACAAAGAAAAAAAGTAAGTAGTCACAGGTGGTATAAAAAAGAGAAGGAATTAGTATACTAGAGGCTGATGGGGTGGCTACGTTAGATTGGCCATCAGCCAAGAAAGGGCTGAGGAAGTGAGATCACAGAAAAAAGAAAAACAAACAAACGAAACCCCAATAATATCATTTCTGAGGATCCAAAATCTAGAGCAGCTTAACTGGGTGATTCTGGCCCCGGGTGTATCATGAGGTGTAATGAAGATATTGACCAAGGCTATGGGCATCTGAGGACCCATCTGAGGTAGGAGGACCCACATCCAAGATCCACTCACATGGTTGTTGGTGGGAGGCCTCGGTCCCCACGGAGACTTCACCAGGGTCACCGGAGTGTCATGACATGGCATTTGGCTTCTCCGCAGACTGAACGGAACCCAGAGGGAGAAAGGAGGAAGCCACGGTGCTTTTTATGACCTGCCCTGGGATGCCAGAAACCTTTACTTCTGCCATATTCCTTTCTTCCCATGTGAGCTGGTAAGTCCCGCCCACACCCAAGGGGAGGGGAATTAGCCCCGCCTCTTTGAAGAGCAGAGTATCAACTCTTTTCGAGTGCTATGCAAGCTTTGTAACTATAACTATTGTGAGAAGCAATATTTTAAACTCTGCTGGCACCTCCCATGAGCAGGGGCACTGTGTAGACCTTCCGCTAACCAGTCCTCAGTGCTCTCTCTCTCTCTCTCTGAGATGCTGAGGGGATCCTGGAGGGCACATGCAGGAAAAAATTGTGGGGAAGGATAAAAGAATGGGCCAAAACTTGGCATAAATACAACCCTTACCCTCTGCCTTCATCATACCCACTGTACTTCAAAAAGGAAGAGGCCACTAGGAATTACCTTCACATTTTCAGCGATTCCTTCCCCAGGAAGGAAATCTGGGGCAGCATAGGGAGGTTGGTGCCCGTTGTCTCAGCGTCCCCTCTCTGATGTCTCGGACCCACACTTTGCTATATGTCCACTCCTGACGTTCCTTAGTTAAGGACCGCAGTGTTGATGGACACTGGCATCGTGGTCCACACCTCCAGGCTCCCCTGGAGCAGAGCGAAACAGAATGATGGCTCGTGAGTTTGTGCAGTCACTGGAATCACAAGGACAGAAAATATTCCAGACTTCCCATGTCCCAGGTACTTATACGATTTTGTACATTAATTGATCTAATCCTCAAAGCAACCCTATGAGCTGCGTGCTAGTCTCTCCATTTTACAGATGGGGAAACAGAGGCACAGAGAGATTAAGAAACCCGCCTGAGATCATGGTGTTCAGAGTGTAAGAGTTTGCATATAAAACCATGATGCTAGATTGCCTCTTAAAAATTGCATCCTTTCTAAAAAAAATTGTAATGTTTATTTATTTCTGAAAGAGGGAGAAACAGAGCGTGAGGAGGGGAGGGGTAGAAAGAGGGGGAGGCACAGAATCTGAAGCAGGCTCCAGGCTCTGAGCTGTCAGCATAGAGCCCGATGTGGGGCTCGAACTCATGAGTCATGATCATGACCATTCTGTAACTCTGTGGAGACAGAGGGTGACTTACAGAGGTGGTGGGAATCATTTCTGGTCAAAGACATTCGAACGGATTTTGGGGGGGAGGGGGGAGGAGTTGCCGTTGACTTCCGCCCTGGGGCAGAGATCATTTTTGCCTCTGGGAACAAGGTAACTTCAGCTTTTTCCAGATTGTGTGTGTATGTGTCTGTTGTCTACATTCTCCTGCAAGCCGGGTTTTACATCCTACTGGTTATTCGATAAAATCTTTAAGGTGTGTTCCATTTCATATTTAAATGGCAGTCCCCATTTAAAAAATTTTTTTGAGTTAAAAACAATTATTCCTTAGCAACATGGCCTCTCTGCAGCCAATCTGGCCAGCACGCCCCCCCCCTTTTTTTTTTTTTAAGTTTATTTATTTATTTTGAGAGAGAGCAAGTGAGCGTATGAGCAGGGGAGGGGCAGAGAAAGGGGGAGAGAGAATTCCAAGCAGGCTCAGTGCTGTCAGCACAGAACCTGACACGGAGCTCTGTTTTCATGAACCATGAGATCATGACCTGAGACAAGATCAAGAGTCGGATGCTCAACCGACTGAGCCACCCGGGCGCCCCCGCCCCCCTCCTTTCTTTCCCCATCTGGTTCATTCTACACACTCAGTGGGCATAGCCGTCTTTTCCGAGGGCAAATCTGACCATGCTCTTTCCTGGCTTAAATCTGACGTGCTGTGTAGACCACCCACGGCAGGGCAGGTCTGGTGAGTGCGGAGATGAGACGGAGCCACCATGCTGAGCCGGGCACCCCTCCTGGCGTCAGGCGGTGAGGCAGCCCCCAGGTAAGACCCCGCGCCCACCGGATGACGCTCGGATCTCCTCAGACATGCCTTCCTGGCACAGGACCGAGGAGGTTTGTGAGCTTTGTCTTGTTTCTCAGATTTGAGGATCTACCCCTTTTCTCCTCGCCCAAACCGCATTCCCCGGATCCTAGACTGGGTGCCAAACTGGGTTTCTAGCCCTGTGACTCTAGCACGAAAAACAAACGTCTGCTCAGAGCCCAGTCCTTGGGCTCCTATTCATAATTTTTTTTTTTTTAATTTTATTTATTTCTAAGAGAGAGAGAGAGACAGCGTGAGCAGGGGAGGATTAGAGAGAGAGGGAGTCACAGAATGAAACAGGCTCCAGGCTCTGAGCTGGCAGTCAGCACAGAGCCCGACGCGGGGCTCGAACCCACGAACCGCGAGATCATGACCCAAGCGAAAGTCGGATGCTTAACCGACTAAGCCACCCAGGCGCCCCTAATTGTTTTTCTTTATAAAGCGCCCTACGTGCTCTTCGGGCTGGAATAAAACACAAGCTCCTCGGAAAGAGCTCCCCACCAGCCCCAGCGTGATCCCGCCCTGCGTATCTTCTGTCCTCCCTGACTCTGGTCCAGCGACACCAGCCCCGCCAGACCTGTTGCGTTAAGACAGCTTCTCCTCCATGTTCCTCCCCATCGTGTGGATAACCTGGTTGCATGTCTCTCCCAAGAGACCATAAGCGTCAAGAGGCGGAACCCACATCAATTGTTTACCCATCTGTCCCCTTCGCTTCTATCTGGGCTTGGCACTCAATGACACCACTCTCTGTTGACTGACAGAAGGGGTCTGAAGCCCAGGTGTGAGGGTGGAGGGTGGCTGGGAAGTGAACTATGGGTACGGCAGGGTGGCTGCCTGGTCCCTAACTCACGGTCCAGCCTCCTTCCCTGGAGTCTGGATGGCACGTCATCAGGCAATTCACTCATTGATCTTCAACCGCGTCCTGGGCCACTGTTTCATCAAATTCTGGTGTTTCGTCTGACTCTTCCTTGCCAGCTGGCCTTCCTCTTCGCTTATTTGCCTTTACGCCTTGATATGAAAGTGCTCCCAGAGGATCTCCCAGTAGCTCCCAACAGTCTAGCCCTTCCTGAAAAGGTTCAACAGAGTTACCGCATGGAATCCGCAATTCCACTCCTGGGAACGTAACCCAAGAGAGATGGACACCAATGTCCACAGAAAACCTTGTACGAGACCGTTCACAGCAGCTTTATTCACAGAAGCCAAAGAGGAGAAACAACCCCCACACCCAGCAACTGATGGCTGGATATGAAAATGTGGTCCATCTACACAGTGGAAGTTCATTCGTCCATAAAAAGGAGTGACGTACTGATCCCTACGACATCACGGACGAGCTGTACTAAGTAAATGAAGCCAAAGGCAATATAGTGATTCCACGTATATGAAAGGCCCCGAATAGGGGCACCTGGGTGGCTCAGTCAGTCGAGCATCTGACTCTCGGCTCTCGATTTCACGGTTCATGAGACCGAGCCCCGTGTCAGGCTCCGTGCTGACAGCGTGGATGGAGCCTCCTTGGGATTCTCTTCTCTCTCCCTCTCTCTCTCCCCCTCATCAGCTCTCAAACTACATAAATATTTTAAGAAAATGCCAAGAACAGGAAATCCAGAGGAACAGAAAGTAGATTATCAGTTGCCTAGCACGGGGATTTGGGAGAAAATGGGAAAGATTGCTACTGGCTACGGAGGGTGTCTTGGGGCCATAGGGATGAAAATGTTCTGAAATTGATTGTGTTGATGGCTCCACAATGGGCAATACACTAAAAGCCACTGAAATGTATGCTTTCAATGAATGAATTCTTTGGTGTAGGAATTCTATCTCAACAAAGCTGTTAATTTAAAAAAAAAAATAGTGCTTTCTAGTCTTGTTAAGACTCCTGTGAGAACCTAGTAAAAGATATGGAATTTCTCCTGCGCCACCCCCAGTCCCTCACTCGTGGAAAATCGCAGCCAGTGCCACAGCCCCTCAGTGTGGGAGGTCCCTGCCACGCACCCCACCCCCCTGCTTCACATACACCCACTTCCCGTAGATATTGCTAAGACTGAAGGGTCCCAGAGCTGGGCGAGGGTGCGGGGAGTGGGGGTTGCTCCAGCATATGCGTGACCCACCCGCAGCTGACTTGACATAAGAAGATTCCAGAGACCCCGCAGCTGGCTGAAAGCCTTGCACGGAAGATGCTGGACCGAAACCTGGCCTCTGGGAGGGGGCCACGGGGGTAAAATCACACCTGTGTTGGGGGAGGAGGGGCTGATCCCAAGGGCCAATAGCTAATCCCACGGAAGCGCGGACTCTCTAACTACTTGAGAGAGAGATGGAGATCTCTCCTCTGTAAAACCTTCAACCCTCTGTTCTGATTCTGTCCTCACCAGCAGCTCTGGCTATCAGCGGCTGCGTGTACGGTACGGCGTGGCCTACGTGACGGGCACGGGGGTGCCAGGCTCTTTCACACAGGGCACTCCCCCTGCAGCCCTCCCACCTCCCCTCTGTTCCGTCTGGAGGGCTCACAGGCTCCCTGGGGACGGGTGTTCTAGCCGCCCCTTCCCCATAAGACACGGGGAGCCCTGCTTCCTGCCTTGGCTGATGAGAACCACTCCTTTCTGGAACCAATCCACTCTCTCTGCTTTAACGAGCTGGTGCCTCTTCTGGCCGAGATGCCTTAATCAGGCCCTTGGTCTTTTTCTTGGAAGGTGACCTCATGCGTCTGCGAGCCCAGCTCTTCCTGATCGGGTAGCCTTGGCCTTCTTTCTGTGGGTCTGGGGCCCCGGGGCGGATGCACAGAGGGGCTGGGGGGAGGGAAGGGCCCCCGGCCAGCTGCTGCCCGCGGCTGCTCCTCCCGGAGCAGTTCCTGAGGGTCCCCGGGCTTCCCTGTGTGCGCTCTGCCCCTTTCTGTGGGCTCGGGAGGGAGGTTGTGGATTTGTGGCTTTGCTAGTAATCAAGAAATCTGCCTAGACCCACAGAATTTCTTCTCCCTCGCCAGGGCTGGGCCCCTTTGGAAACCTGAAAAGGGCAGTAGTGTCAGTGACTCGTGCGCACATGCGCAAACACGTGTGTGTGTCTGTGTGATAAACCTGAGTGTGTTCAATTAGGCAGGAAAGCTGGACACTCCAAGGATGAGGAGCGGGAGGGAGGGGGAAGGAGAAGGGAGGGAGAGGGGGAGGGGTGAGGTAGAGAGAGAGGAGGGAGGGGAGGGAGGGGGAAGTAGGGGGAAGGAGAAGAGGGGGGAGGAAGGGAAGGGGGAAGGGGAGGGGAGGGGGGAGGGGAGGGGAGAGGGAGGGGGAGGGGGAAGGATGAGGGAGAAGGATGGGGGGAATGCGAGAGGCAGGGGAGAGAGAGGGGAGGGAGGGGAGGGCAGGGGGAGAAGGGTGGGGAGGAGAACAAAGGGGAGGGAAGAGGAAGAGGGGGAAGGGGGTGGGGCAGGGCTGAGGGGGTCCTAGGCCACCCAGGACGTGGGTTCAGTCCTTGCCAGCTTCACCCACAGACCTGTCTCCGGAGGGGCCAGTGAGAGACTCCACCCTTTCCGTCTGAGCACGCCACCCCCAGAGTCGGCCACCCTGGGTTTTCAGGATGCGCCCCGCCCCCCCACTCCCAGGGAGAAGTCCCTTTGGCCCGGGGGGCCAGCCTGAGCCATGTGACACAGAGGGGATGGCAGTGTAGACATTTGACCCCCCCTCCCGGAGCCACCTTCCCTGGGAGTCTCTGGTGAGGGGGCCTGGGGGGTCCCAGAGAGACTCCATGGGGGGGCCTGGGGGGGCCTTCTGTCCTTCCTCACGGACCCCAGCTTGCGAGTGCGGATTCGGACTCACTTTCCACGTCTCCCACTCTCCATCTACACGTCTTCCCCGGCTGCCTCCCGCTGTGGGCTCTGAGTCCCGGCATCAGACGTGAAGACGACCACTCTGGGCAGAGCACTTACACCTGCCTGGGGTCAAAGCCCTCCCGGCACCTGCATCCGGGGCCCCACCTCTCTGCACGCCGCCTGGCACAGCTTGGATTTCTGACCCTACTACTCACATGGGAGGAGACAGAAGGAGCCCGGGTCCCTGACAGTGGCTCCCGGTGCGGCAGGGGTCCTCACACGGAGCAGAAGCAGGCACCCGGATCACCTGGAGGGCCTTTAAACCCCACCCCCCACCCGGGGGCTGGACCCCGCCCCCTGAGGTTCTGATTCTCTGGTCTGGGGGCGGGGCCCAAATATTTGCATTTCTAGTAGGTTCCCAGGCGTTGCTGATTCTGGCGGTCTGGGGAGAAGCACCTGCCCGATGGTGTGCGCCAAGCCAGGGCTGACTGCTGCCTCCTGCAGGACCGCAGCGGACGGGAGCCTCGAGGTGTTGAGAGTTGGGGACCCCAGGGGGCCCCCCCAATCCCTGGTCACCTTGTTCAGTCCTGTCCTGCTAGCTGCTTTGCAGGGGAAGGCATTGCTGCTCCCGCCTTCTGACAGGCAGCCTGGCTGAGCTGAGCACCTGCCCAGGGCGGGTGGACCCCATGTGAATGGTGACCTTGACCCTGAGCAGGCGCGCTGTCCCGTCTAAGACATGGCGGGGCCGCCTGGGGTTCTCACCCGCGTGATGTACGTGATGTCTGTGCTTTGTGTGGTCCCTGCCCTGCCCTGATGGTTTTGAGCTCTTGACCCTGAGCGCCGAACTTTGCATTGATCTGCATTTATATCAGTTTTGCTGGTTTTCAACTCCCAGTCCAGCCCGCTAAGGTGCGACGCCTGCTATACCCACATACACCACAGGGGGAGCAGAGGAGGGCTCTTCCCGGGGGTTGGGGACAGGTCTTGACTCCTCCCCTATCCAACTCCCCAACTGTCAACTTGGGTACCTGCCTGCATAGTTTCTAGAGAGTCTTTGCACCCCAGTTAGAAACACCAACTTCAAAAAAAAATTTTTTTTTGAGATCGAACTTAGGAACAAACATCGTATAGAATTTAATGTTTTCACGGATGGGCTGGGCTGAGGCCTTAAGGGGAAAATGGCGGGGTGTTCGCCGGCAAAAAGGCATTGGGGTCCCAGAGGGCTGGGCGGGGCTGACTGGGTGGGCCACAAGCTCACCAGGGAACTTGTTGTCTCTCAGTCTCTGTCTCAGAAACTTCCGGAACCACCGCTGCTCCTCAAACGCGGATTTGCTGTTGTTCCTTCCTCCTCACCTCTGTCCAGATGTCTGACAGATCCTGGATAAACTGCTGGATCTAACAAAGCAAGGGACCAGGGCTCAGCGCACCGAGCAGCAGGCCACCCCATCCCCGAATGCGCGGTGGCCGGGCAGAGCTTGTGAGAGTCCCTGCTTCCCTGCGACAGATTTCTCTGGGCCACCGGCCCCCATTTGACAATTATTCTCGTTGGAACTTCAGGCTTAGCAGACTAGAAGGCACAAACAGGGAAGTCTTGGAGGCAGACACGCGACTGTCTGAGGTCCAGCTGACCATCTGGGGAGGGGAGGGCCAGGGGATGCAGGAGCAGACGCTGGCTCTAGAAGCCTCTGGCAGGCAGGGGCCAGCAGCGCTGGGGGAGGTGGTTATCTGCAGTTTAACCGCCTTCATGGTGGGCATTTGCTTGGAACCCAGAACTGAGCCTGTTATGATCATCTTGGGTCATTGACGGAAGCTTAAGTTCTATGCGCTAGCTTCTGTTTCAAGGAACGCGCACTTGGCGTGCCACGTGGGGACCTGGCCTCCACATGCTGCCCTGGGGACATCAGTTCATCTTTCTGGGCCTCGCCTTCTTCATCTTTAAAAAGGGGAAGGGGGAGAACAGATTGGCTCAGATGGCCTCTACAATCTTGGTTCTAAAATGTCTCCTTTTCCGGGCGCCTGGGTGGCTCAGTCGGTTAGGCAACCGACTTCAGCTCAGGTCATGATCTCCGACTTCAGCTCAGGTCATGATCTCACGGCTTGTGAGTTCGAGCCCCGCATCAGCTCTGTGCTGACGGCTCAGAGCCCGGAACCTGCTTCGGATTCTGTGTCTCTCTCTCTCTGCCCCTCTGCTGCTCATGCTCTGTCTCTCTGTCTCTGTCTCAAAAATAAACAAACATCAAAAATAAAATCAAATAAAATCTCTCCTTTTCAAGAATGTTCCTGGGGGTGGGATGATGCAGACCATCCCAAACCCTCAACAGCCCTGTGCACTCCTGGCACGGTTACCAATGCAGATAATTCCCGTTTGGCAAAAGAGGAAACAGAGTCCGTGAATGAAAGTAACTTCTCCAAGATCGCGGACAGGACAGGTCCAGCACTTCCCAAGCTATGTTCTTCTCATAAGTAATCACACCCCCCAAAAGGGTTCTGTGGTCAAGTAAGCTTCGGAAACGTGATCTGCTTGGGGCATCTGGGGCGGAGCCACAGTGAAGTCCTGTGTGTCAAGACCATCAAACTCTGTGTCACCGAGGGCTTTCTGAACGGATTAGTCCGCAGTCATTTTCTTCCCCCTCAGGAAACTTACCCCCCTCTTGGGGTTCTAGAAGTTACCAAGCACATTTTGCTCCAGACAGCCTGGGCTTCAATCAGGGATGCCAACGCCCGACCCTCCAAGAGACACGGTACACTGAATTCAAACGGTCCCGGCTTTTTTGCAGAATCCCATGTCCTAAGTCGCATGTGGGTACCACGCTCCTAAGCTCTGGCTGTGTGGCTGTCTCCCGGAGCCCACGCCTGGGTGCGTCACAGGGATGTTGCTGGGAACATCAAATTTCCATTAGCGTGAAGCGCTGGAAAAAGTCTGCTCTGAGGACACGTACGTTTTCTCACTTTGGTACAAATATCATGTGCTGCTCTTCCTTCTCGTCAGCAAGCACAGTGGGGCCAACGGCTATATTTCTCTCTTGTGCCTTGAGCTTAGATTGTAACTTTTATTTGCCCGGGTCCTTATCTTTAAAATTTTTTTAGTGTTTATTTATTTATTTATTTATTTTTAAATGTTTTATTTATTTCTGAGAGAGAGAGAGAGAGAGAGAGCGTGAGCAGGGGAGGGGCAGAGAGAGAGGGAGACACAGAATCCAAAGCAGGCTCCAGGATCTGAGCTAGATGTCAGCACAGAGCCTGACGCAGGGCTGGAACCCACGAACCGTGAGATCATGACCTGCTCCGAAGTCGGACGCTTAACCCACTGAGCCACCCAGGCTCCCCTAGTGTTTATTTATTTATTTATTTATTTTTAAATGTTTTTTTTGAGAGAGAGAGAGAGAGAGAGAGAGAGAGAGCGATCGAGGGAGGGGTAGAGAAAGAGGGGGACAGAGCATCTGAAGCGGGCTCTGTGCTGACAGCAGTGAGCCCGATGCGGGGCTTGAACTCACGAACCGTGAGGTTGTGATCTGAGTCCAAGTCGGACGCTCATCCGACTGAGCCACCCAGGCGCCACCCCCCTTTATTTTATTTTTTTTTCAGGCTAGTTGATCATGTTTGTGTCTGCCAATGGGCTCACACCCCAGGGAACGAGGTAGGATACTTTAACAATTTGCGCAATAGGAAGTATTCCTGTAGAAGCAAATTGAGGTTGAGAGGGAGTCAGTGGATTGAGGCAGGTAGGGTCTGAGCAGGGAATGCGTGGGCGAAGCCAGGAGCTGGAAATCACCACCTCCTGCCTGACCTCACTTTATAACAGCTAAAGCATCGAGGAGTCCCCAAGATGCTACTGCCTGGGAGGGGCATCTGCAAGGACAAAGCTCCTTTTTCTCTTCTTTTTTTTCTTTTAAATGTTTATTTTTGAAAACGAGTGAGTGGGGGAGGGGCGGAGAGTGAGAATCCCAAGCAGGCTCCGCACCGTCATTACAGCGCCTGATGGGGGGCTCGAACTCACGAACCTCGAGATTGTGAGCTGAGCCGAAATCAAGAGCAGACACTTAACTGACTGAGCCCCCCAGGCGCCCCTGAGCTCCTTTCTCAGTAACACTAAGACATCATTTTTCTTATTCCCTCTTATTTGCTCACGAGTATACAGTGGCTTTTACCAGAGCAGCTCGTTTCCGTGACGTGGGCCATCACAACGAAATGAATGCTGAAGCTGACAGAGAACCCACCTGTCCTCCAGGAAGCCAGGCATGAAATGGATTTGTGGAAGTGCTCCTCGTCCCACAGAGCACTCTTTTGAAAATGTGCTTTTCGTCAGGCATGCCATTTATGTTGCTTCTTGTTGTCCTTGGGAAATGAATGAACTATTTTTAACTTTTCTGTTCGAATTTCTCACATGGTAAATATCGGTAGCTATAACCCACATAAACAAAAGCTCTTGGAGGGTCTTCAATCAATGTTAAGAGCGCACAAGTCTCCCGATCGCAGAGAATTTAAGAATTGCCGCTTGGGAACAAACTTTCTTACAAACTGCCTTCGAAGTCTTTGAACTTTCGATAATTCTGTTGTCCATGCTTTGAGCTGCAGGCTGAGTCTCTGGTTTGCGGAAATCCTTCTTCCTGGCTGGTCAGTGGGTGAAATCCTTTACGTTTTGTGGGTTTTACTTTGTTGTCGTTAAATAGGGGCAGTGCCTTCCAGCCCATTGCTTTTATTGGCTTGTGTTTGCTATTCATTCACCAAACATTTATTGAGCTCCTACTGTGTTCCAGGCACTATTCTAGACACTGAAATACAGCGAACCACAAGACAAACACAAACCCTGGTCTTCAAGAGCTTCCTTTCTATTATTTGACAAGAGTCAAAGCTTTTGCCAAAGGAATGAACAATTAGTCATGGTTCTGTGCATGTGACATAAAGTATGGCTAACATGTCTTTTGGTATGGAGTTTTCCAAAGTGCGGGGTATCTGTACCTTTGGTGAGAAGTGGGATGAATCTGGGGCGCCTGGGGGGCTCAGTCGGTTAAACATTTGACTTCGGCTCAGGTCATGACCTCACAGTTCATGGGTTTGAGTCCTGCATTGGGGTCTGTATTGATGGCTCAGAGCCTGGAGCCTGCTTCTGATTCTCTCTCTCTCTCTCTCTCTCTCTCTGCCCTTACCCCACTCACACACTCTCTCTCTGTCTCTCAAAACCAAATAAACATTCAAATCAAGAAGTGAGATGATTTGGGGTCGCACCTGGACATGGCGTCCAACAGCTTTGAATCACAGTGAGAAAGTTACTTCCTTTCCAATTTCCTTTTAGTTACTTCAAAGAGGAAAAAAATCTCAGGTCGGCACTAATAAGACGCCAACACTTTCCTAGACTTGCTGATTGCCCCCACCCCCGAGATTCTCTTTCCCCAAAGCGTGGGGCCCGGGCACCGGCTTTCAGCATCTCTCTAGAATTTAAGGAGACTGTTTTTGTACCAGTGATGAACTCCACAGCTGCGGCCCGCGTTGACTGGGGCCTGAGCACTAATGCACTGGTTCCCAAAGCCTGGGACCCGCACCAGCACCGGCACCCGGGAGCCTGCTGAGAAATGGAAATCGCTGGGTTCTCATCTCAGAGGCTCTGGAGGTGGGGCCCAGCAACACCCCCACCCCCTAGGTGGCTCTGATCCTGTTCAACTTGAGAACCACTGCTCTGTGGGGTTCATTCTTCCACTGGACCAACGGACAGTCATCCCAGCCCCGTGCGCACAGCTGGCCAGGGCACCCGCGCCCCCTCTCACCAGGTCCAGCTGTTTGTGGGTGTCTTCCAGGGACACGGCCGTGGTCTCCTTCAGCTGTTTGCTCACCGTCTGGAACAGGTTCAGTGTTGCCATCTTGATGGTGCCAAGCAAGAGGGTCTTCTTGGCGGCGGTGTTCTGGATGTGGGCCCAGCGAGACTCCTTGGGAGGCGACGGGCCGGGGACGTGAGCGGGCGCGTGGGCGCGCACCTGGGCGCACGCGCGTCCCTCGCTTCCCCCGGAAGCCCCGCCCCCGCGCTCACCCAGATGATGACGTCGCTGCGGGCGCGGTCAAAGCGCATCTGCAGACGCGCCAGCTCGTTGTTGTGCTGCAGGATCTCGTCGTCCTTCTCGTCCAGGTAGCGCGCCAGCCGCGCCTTGGCGTGCTCGATCTTCTCCTGACCCTCGTGCGCCGACTGCAGGAGGTCCTGGTGCATGCTCACCAGCGTCTTGTAGCGGGAGATCACTTCGTGGATCTCCTCGAACTGCGGAGGGGGCGCCCATCACTGCACGGCCACCCCTCCCCCCCACCTGGGTGTGGGCCGAGGTCACAGGGCAGAGGCGGAGAGGGGGCCCCTTCTGGTCCTCCTGGGTTGGGGTGGGCCAGGGACAGGCGTTGGGAGCTCGGGTCCTGGGTCTGCATGTTGCAATCACCTGGGAGCTTTATGGGTTTATTAATGTTTATTTTTGAGAGAGGGAGAGAGAGAATCCCAAGCAGCCCCCTCGCTGTCAGCACAGAGCCCGACGTGGGGCTCAAACACACCACCCGTGCAGTCGCGACCTGAGCCGAAATCAAGAGTCGGAGGCTTAACAGACTGAGTCCCCTGGGCTCCCTTCCACCAAGAGATTCATTTTCATAAACAGGTGTGAGGTGGTCCCCGGCACCCAAATTTTGCACAGAGCCCCCACCCCCACCCCGTGATTGTAGAGGCCTGCTGGCTGGGGTTTCAGGGGGGCGGGGTGGGGAGGTGCATTTTGAGACGCCTCCCAAGGCAATAATGACCCCATCCAACACGAATGTACCCAGAATTGGGGCGCCTGGGTGGCTTAGTCGGTTAAGCGTCTGACTTTCGCTTAGGTCATGATCTCGCGGTTCGTGGGTTCGGGCCCCGCGTCGGGCTCTGTGCTGACTGCCAGCTCAGAACCTGGAGCCTATTTCAGAGTCTGTGACTCCCTCTCTCTCTGACCCTCCCCTGCTCATGCTGTCTCTCTCTGTCTCTCTCTCCTACAAATAAATAAAAGTATTAAAAAAAAAAAAAAAAGAATGTACCCAGAACCGTTTGTAAGTCCGGCCAGACGCTAAGGGCGAGGGACAGAGCAGGAGATAAGAAAGCCAGACCCCGCTGTTAGGAAGCCTGAAGCTTGGGGGGGCACACAGTGAGGACAGACAGACAGGGAAAGAGTTACGACTCCGAGTGATAAGCCCTATCTAGGACTGGGGGATGGGGCCGGCCGAAGACTGTGGGGTAGTATCTTCAGCGTAAGGCTCTCTGGTATTCACACTTGCTGAGGTCCGCCTCCAGCGAGGGCTGGAGAGGGCACGGCGGGGTGTGGGGTTGGGGGTGGGGGTGGCCTGCTGGGCTCGGCTGTCCCCTCCGGCTGTGCCAGGCCAGTGAGATTCTGATCGGACCCTGTAGACCACACTTGGGAGAACAGAAGCCCTGTCGCCCTCTCGCTGTAGAAGGTGGTGTGGACACCCGGTCCAGACACCGACTCACCTCCGGGAGGTTTATCAGAGCGTGTCTTCCAGCCACCCCGGGGACACCCCCTGAGCTCTTTCTCCATCTCCTGACCTTCCCAGTGATAGATTGGCGTTCCGGGAGCTGCCCTCCTCGCCTTTCCATCAACACACCTCTGTGGGGGAGGGGCCACCCAACCTGGTATTAGAGGGCGTGGAAAGAGCGAGCAAAGGTCCTGGGGTGGCCAAAATGAGGCGGGCCAGGCAGGGACGGGTGGGGGAAGGTGAGGACAGGTAAGGGAGCAGCCTGCCTAAAGATGATGGGGTTGGGGGGTTGCTGTGTGGCAGGTTCAGGATCCTCAATGCAACAGCCTAGGACACTTAAATCAAACGGAGCTCCCAGGGGTACTTAGTTCTGACGTCAAGGGGCCTTGGGTGCCAACCCACAGAGGCTCCCGCTGTTTAAGGATGGGACACTCTGGGGCTAAAATCGACAACTCAGGCGACAACAGATGTTGGCGAGGATGCAGAGAAAGAGGAGACCTTTTGCACGGCTGGTCGGAATGCTAATGGGTGCAACCGCTCTGGAAAACAGTATGGAGGTTCCTCAAAAATTTAAAAATAGATCTACCCCATGACCCAGAAATTGCACTAGCAGGTATTTATCCAAGGGACACAGGTGCGCTGTTTCAAGGGGACACATGCCCCCCAATGTTTATTGCAGCGCTATCAACAGTTGCCAAAGTGTGGGAAGAGCCCAAATGTCCATCGACGGATGAATGGATGAAGAAGATGTGGTTCATATATACAATGGAGTATCACTCTGCAATCGAAAAGAATGAAATCTTGCCATTTGCAACTACGAGGATGGAACTAGAAGGTATTATACTCAGCGAAATTAGTCAGAGAAAGACAAATATCATATGACTTCACTCATATGAGGACTTTAAGATACAAAACAGATGAACAGAAAGGAAGGGAAGCAAAAATAATATTAAAAAAGGAGGGAGACAAAAAACATAAGAGACTTAAATATGGAGAATAAACAGAGGGTCACTGGAGGGGTTGTGAGGGGGGATGGGCTAATAGGTGAGGGGCATTAAGGAATCTACTCCTGAAATCATTGTTGCACTACATGCTAACTAACTTGGACGTAAATTTTAAAAAACTAATTATTTAAATATATCAGCAGGTTCGTACATATGTCCTCTTCTCTGGCTTCTTTTGATTTCATTTTTAAAAATATTTATTTGTTTTTGAAAGAGAGAGAGACTGAGCATGAGTGAGGGAGGGGCAGAGAGAGAGAGGAAGACAGAATCCAAAGCAGGCTCCAGGTTCAGAGCCATTAGCACAGAGCCCGACGTGGGGCTCGAACTCACGCACTGTGAGATCATGACCTGAGCCGCAGTCGGATGCTTAACTTACTGAGCCCCCCAGGTGCCCCTGTGTGGCTTCTTTTGATCAGCAGTATCGTGTCTGTGACACTTGAAAAACAAACATACCAACCAAATGTCGTGTGGGGACCTTGTTTGGACCATGGTTGGAACGAATCAATTGTCCAAAAAGCATGTGTGCAACAGTTTGGGGGAATTTTAATGTTGACTGGATATTTGATATTAAGGAGTTAGTGTCGCATTTTTACGAGGTGTGACAATGGCATTACCCTTATCTCGGGAAGTCACGTACTGAAATACAGATTTAAAAAAATATCATTTGCTTCAAGATGGTGGAGGTGGGAAGCATGGGGGATGATAGGGTGAGTTGATAATTGTTGGAATTAGGTGGTGAGTAACGGGGATTCAGTAGACTATGGTATACGTTTGAAATTTTCCGTAATGAAAAAGATTGGTTT